GAGTAATCTAGGTAATAGGTTAATACAGCAGTACAACTTTTTGATACTTAGATCTTGCATAGTTAATATAGCAGAGTATTTTAAAATTAATAATTTAATAGAACACGATAATAATAATTAACAATTTAACGTAGTTTAATATAATATAATAAGTATACATTAAATGATATACATTTATCACACTAATAATGATAATTTAACATAATATAGCAATTTCAATATAGTCTTCTAAAATTGAAATTAAAAATTGACAAGGCCTCTTTTTACAACACGCGGAATTTCTTAAACATTGTTTGCGGTTTGACGATGAGTCAACCTACTTGATTGACGAATCGTTCGGTGTTTCCGTTTCTCCTTCTTTCTCTCCCTCTCTCTTTCTATCTCTCTTTCTCTTCTTTGTCTTTTTCTCTTTACAGGGTCCTTTAGAAAGGAAAAGAGAAGACAGAAGGAAAAGATCAGGCATAAGAATCGGTAGTACTCATACGCCAGCCAGGATATAACAGGTAAAACAGGTTTGTGGGCGTCCTGAAACGTGGGCTACCTGCATCGTTTCTGGAAGGGGTCCTTCTTCAAACTCGCCTGCCGATTCTTGCGGAAGAAAACGGAAGAAAGGGGAGAAACGCGGGTATGCACCTGTTCGTTAAATAACGAACGATTAACGTCTCTAAACTGCTGCTCCGTGATTTTATCTTCGAGTGAACTATGACGCACGAACAAATGTTCCACCGTTCATTGAGATCATCGTGGAAACCGCAACTGTTTTTCAACGAATTTATAAAAAAGAGAGATTCGTAAGAAAAATATTTAAATCGTTGTTGAAAAATTATATTAAAGAAGTGGAGAGATTTATATTAAATGAAATTAGTAGGTATATAAATAACAAATAAAACAATATATATATACAATACAAACAAATAATATGAACTATAACTATAACAAATATACGAAAAATTATGTTAAGAAAGAAATGCAAATATCAGTATTTATAAGTACNAAGTATAAATATTAATATAACAAATATATAAAGACTTGTAAAACTATATAAATAATAACAAATATAAAATATAAATATACATACAAATATAAGTACAAATATAAATGTATGAAAAGTTATATTAAAAAAGAAATACAAATATCAGTATTTATAAGTACAAGTATAAATATTAATATAACAAATATATAAAGACCTGTAAAACTATATAAATAATAACAAATATAAAATATAAATATAATACATGTGTAAGTACAAATATAAATGTAATAAATATATAAAGACTTATATTAAAGAATTATATAGATAATAAATTTTAACTAAATTTGTAATAGTAATTGAATCGGTATATTACAGATTTTTATTGATACAGATATAATTCTATGTCGTCATTATTATGAAACTAACAAAAAAATTTATTAACAGTGATAATTTATAATTTGTGACTCTTATAACATTAATTCAATTGCATCGTCAACGTCGAGGAATCGAAAGATTATTTTCTTCAAAGATCGTTGAAATATCGTGCTCTTATCTCTTATCAGCTTGACAGAATTAGTTGACGTGACTATTTTTCGTGAGATTCCGGCGAGCCGACACCTTTTTCGAGTATTGAACTCGAAAATTCTTTCAGTTACATAAAACTAAATCGAATCTCCTTTTACCAGTTCGTTAACCCCTGATCAATCCTTCCCTGTGGTTCAATTCGTTCAACCGTTCTTCAAGCACGATCAATTTTTAGTTATGTCGATTGTGACAGAACGTTCGTGGACAGATATATTAAAAAAAAAAAAAATAGGCTTCTTCTGAGACCCGGAAGAATTGCCGGCTTTATGCAACCCAAGAATTATAAACTTTCTCTTATGTATACAAGGTTTTCGTAGTTCGAAAATTTCGACCTAAATTTCAACGAAAGAGAATGTCACTCTAAATTAACATCCCTTTTCTAAAATCAATAATTTTCAGACTGTACATACAAGACAACGGGCGAGATTTTTAATTCTACGTCAGGCAAACCAAGAAAATTTGAAATTTCTGTCATCGGCGACACAATTTGATGCGTTTCAATTCAGAAACGAGGAAAATGATAAATAAATGGATTGGTATCGATCTGAAAAATGATTCGACCTCGGGGGAGACACTCGAGCCCGCAAAAAGGCAGGTCCGCGTCGACAGTCAGGATCGCGATTACGAGGAAGCTACGAGGAAGTCGGCAAAGCCCCCCCCTCCAATGCCCCTATGGTATTTCCCACTCGATTACAACGCTTCGATTATTTCCGTTCGCGCCGTATAACCGGCCGTCTATCCATCCTCGTCCGACTCGAAGGGTCGCGCGTTCCGGTGGTCCATTTGTCTCCGTTCGTCGAACGTGTTATACGGCGCGGCAAGCCGCGCGCATGCGCGCTATCGCACTCGTCTCTCGCGGCGTGCGAAAGAGGAGTGGGGGGTGTGGCGGCAAGCTTCCAGCGGAGATTGCGACTCGCGGCTCAGTCGCTCACCAGCTCCGAGATTGAGTGGGTTGATTTTGTCGCGGGCTCGTTCGTGGCTATCGAAGACTCGCGAGCCGAATCGAATTGCGTCCGAGGTGAAAGGGAAATCCGTTTCGTGTCTCGCATCCTCCTCGAATTTACCTGCCGCTCCCTTGTGTCGGACTTCCGCTAATCCCGGTAAAAAGAGAGAACGCGAGAGGAAGAAAGAAGAGAAGACAAGACAGCGCGAGGGAGGGAGAGAGTGATTCGAGTGGTGCCGACTGTGATACACTTAGCCTACGCGCGTAACACACATGGATATTCCGATACCACGGGACTTTTTATCGTATGGACACGAAAATCCGATATCTGTGTAAAGATATATATCCGAACGTTTGAAAGCGGATCTCCACTTGCGTGCAAAGAAAAATTCTCTACGATCAACCGGAGATATTGGAATGGGTGTATAAATAAATACGTACGAGGTGCGGAAAAAAGAGGGAGAAGGACAGAGAGAGACGGAGGAACGAGGGAGAGATAGAGAAGAGTAGCGGAAGAAAAGATACACGTGCGCGTGGTCGGTGTCTCGAGGATACCTGTGGATGCCAGGCTGGAGTCGCGACGTATTAGGGCGCGGATTTCTGCCCAATGACTACGAAGGAAATTCATTTCTATTCGCTAACCGATCTCTACTATTGATATTACGCCGTGTCGGATAATTTATTGGCTAGGCCACAATTGAGGTAATGATCTTATTTTTACATTTTTTTTTTTTTTTTCGTCCTCTTATTTCAACGTTGCGCAATATATTCGCTGCTCGATTAAATATCGCTCTTTAAATGGCCACCGCAAGAAAATCTGATACATTGTTTCGCCATTTTCTTAATTTCGTCGCGCTTTTTTTTTTAATAAAAAATATTTATTATACTTATGCGCTCTTTGTTTTGTACGCTCGTAAACAAAAGTTATTTAGGAAATTTCTGTTTTTATTTCAAACATTTAACATTTTATTTTTTAAATTAACATTTTTCGCCTTTCCCTTAATTGTAGATATGAAATATGAAATGTAGATAATTCTATTTTCCAATCTTACAAATTATAAATTAAATAACGTCTATTAGAATAGCTATCGCTAGCTGCATTATGAGACAAACTTGATCGTCAGTGTACGATCTCATTGTTACCGACTTCTTATGATAATTTTGAAATATTGTCCACGTTTTTACATAAATGACGTGCGTCGAGATGAATTTTAATACACATCGCGTTTATCCATTCTTCATCATGTTAAACACAATGAATTATGGAATCATTTCATTATGCTTTCTCATTTTAATTACGTATACATTGCGACGACTAAAATTATTCGTATTGACTTTGCCGGAAGTAATATTAAAACATAGTGCCGCGTAAATATATCCGAATTCCCGTAATTAATTTCCACGGTGTGGAAAGCTTTTCGTTTAACTAAAATCAGCTTAATTAAGGATTTTCAAGGATCGTTTAACTTCGCGAGAAATTGATCCAGCCTATGATTTATATTTACACGCTGTGCTTATCAACGCGAAACGCATCGATCGAATTTTGAATGCTCCGTAAACAAACATCCCTCCCGCCGTGTACACACGAGCGTTTTCTTTCTGCGGTTAACCCCTTTTTCTGACGTGTAACGATACACCGAAACTTTTGTCGTAATAATATCACGCTACACGCAACAACAGCGTATTTGATAATAATTGAAAGATCGTTTTCGACGTGTGTGACTTCCTCGTCGTCGCAATTAGCTCGATAACTTAACCTAAATTCCGACGGCGCTGCTATAAGAAAAAGAAGGCAGTAACCGGTCTACGGAATTACAGATAACGATAAAATTCTCATTCTCTGTATACAATCTAAGAAACGTTATATCCATAATAACACGACGGTGTCTGAAAAAATTGTATTTTAGTATCTCCTGTAATACCTTAATACTCGACTTTTTAATCCCCTTTGTCACAAAGTCGTTAATTGATAGCGGAAAGAGGATCCAGCTACCATTCGCTATCAAGTTATCTAGCATTCTCTCTTACTTTTAATTCAATTAGAATAATTCCGCGTACGCCTTTATTCGCTCGGCTAGACTTAACCTCTCGCACTAAGTAACTGGTTCGCGGACCATAACGAGTGACCAAACCGTATACAATAATTCATCGGTATATCACTGGATAGAAATTACTAGAAAGTAATAAATTTATTATTTGTTTTGCCTGTTATATTTCGGTATACTTAAAACGGAGAAAATATTGCAATTTTGGGGCAAATGTTCTCGACGTGCGCGTCATTCCAGCGCAAGAGGTTAAAGATCCTAAAGTAATAAGAAAATAGTACACAAATCGGTCGATGACCGAAATTCTGTTTAAACGAAAAAAGGAAAACAAAAAAAAGAGCTTGACTTAACCTCTTTGTGTCCCCCTGTACACTTCAATTTTCAACTGTGTGAAGGATTTATGTAGCACCCTCCCCCCTCCCCCACCTTTCCCTTCTGTCTCGCTTTCTTTCTCTTGCACCTCCACGCGCGCACGCGCAAACGCGGTCGCGCGCGCGTCCGCGTTCACGTTCACGCACACCATTGGCGCGCGAGTGTGCAACGCGACGGCTAAGCGGAGCGGCTGTTGCTTACGCTCCTTGATCGTTATTCAGGAAGTTGCACGTTATCATTTACATAACACGTGAGCTCGAACAAAATCATGCATAATTCCTTCCTCCTTAGCGCGGCTGCGTTACCGCTTCTCTCTTTATTTCCCTTTTTTTTCACCCCGGTTGAAAAAAAAAAAACACGCGAGGGATCTCTGTGTGTCGCCTCTGTTCGCCGAAGTGGAGCTTCTTGCAAATCTCCGCCAGACAACCGCCTCCTTTATCTACGTCTCGTTCACTCGGGCGCCTATTGACGAAGAGATCCGGGAAACAGACAACTCTGACACGTTGCTTCGCGAGAATTCGCGTGATCTTTGCGACCGAGTTTGCCGAGTTACGTGTCGCAAGAGACTCCCAACTCCCTAAAATGACTTCTGAGAATCGTCGTTGAATTACAAACTTTTTTTTTTTTTTTTTTTGCTGTACCAATAATTTTCGTTGTTGTCTAGAGAGAGAATTTTATTTTCATAATTTTTCGACTCGTCGCTATGGCGATACTAAAATGAAAAACGAATAAAGAAAATTCTCAAATATTCGCAACCTTTTGCTCTTGAAATAAAAACAAATTGGTTTCGAAAAGTTTCACGATAAATGTGTGCTGAAATTGCTGGTCGAACTTTGATCATTGTTAGATTGCAAATCTGTTTGTAAATTTAGCGAAATATTAAAAATGCTAAAATCCGTAGAATCCATTTAATACGCAGAAATGCAAAATGACTCAAATTTAAATGGCTAATCTACAGATAAAAAGGAGGAAAAATGTTATATAAAGTTGATCTGATTTGTTACAGAATTATGAACAAATTATTCTACGCATGAAATAAATAACGACGCATTTTCCTTTACCATTTGGTTAGGTTATTGTTTTACTTGTGAGGAATCTTAAAACGGAGATTTATTCAAAAGGAAGTGTCTTCGTATAAAGAACTAACTCGAAGAATTAAAATCGCAAATTTTATTGAAACTCAACGAAATTCTCGAAAACTTCGTTCAATTATAAGAGCAATACTTCGGAGTAGATAATTGAAAAATTCTGAGAGAAGTCCAAGCTTTCAAAAATTCTAAGTTTTTTATTGCTTCACTGTCATTTATAACTAACGTTGCGAGATTGTTACCACGTGTTAAAAGACATGCGCATATTTAATACTGCGCGCCAACTACTGCGCACTGTAATGAATTATACAATATTTGTTCATAATTCTATAATGAAGCATTTACTGACGTTTTTTTATAGAATATTCTTTTTTCCTTTTTTTTTTGCCTGTAAAGTAATCCCTCGCGATTTAAGTTTGAAACTCCTTGTATATATAATATTTATCATAACATTCAGAGACCAAGTACAGTATTCATTATAACACTTAATGATTGAGCAAAATGACTGGTGACATTTATATTTGTGTTATGCAAAGGTATGCAGTTATATTTTTTTAGTTTTATCCATTAAGGTATGCAAAATTCCTAATCTAAATACGATCCGTTGAATTATGAATTATGAACCGCTCAAATGAAATCACTGAATTCCAAAGTCCGTTATTCTACTTTATAATCTAAATTTTGTTCAACGGAGATCGCCAGCGACACGCTTGTCGCATAAAATATGAAATATGAAACTACAATTAAAAAAAAAAAATAACACGCAGTATGACCTAACCTAAGAATCTAATTTAAACCTGTAGCCGCCTAACCTAATAATACTAGTTAAAGGTTAAGTCGAAATTCACGTGCAGTCGTGCGAAAGAAAAACTTCGACGCCTGAAATGATTAATTCTCAGGCGTGTATGCGATAAGAAAAAGCTTTTCGATACTATATCTAGAAAACGTTTGCTCGAAAGGTTTTTACGTCGATTTTCTATCTAGCAGTCAAGAGAGCTGATAAGAGGTTAAAGGGGAGAAACGACGTAGAAGGAAGAGGAAGTGGGTGGCGAGGGTGGCGGGAGGAGGAGGGGAAGAGGGGGGCGGGCGGGGAGGAGAAGAAAGCCTTTCGAAACGTAATTCCGGCCGGAAGAGCCGAGAACCCGGAAGTGAGGGAGGAAGCACTACGGCAGCAGGGTGGAAAGGGGGATGGAAAATTCTCCAGAGCCTCGAGGGAGGGCTCGATCGATCGTTAAGATCACGGACGAGGTGTCGACGTCTAACCGCCGGTAAATTTCTAGCGACTTCTTTCGTTATTCTTCACTAACCTCGAAACGTTCTAATTGTCCGCAGAAACGTTTTTTTTTTTTTTTTTCTTTTTTTTTCCCTGTAAATTTATTACTGTACCCCCGTTATCCGAATATTCTGATATTCCAACAGTATATTAAATAAGTGCTTTTCTCTGCGCTAATTTCTTCGATCATGCACCATAATTGTTATATTCGAAATTTTGTCGATTGAAATCTATCTCTCTGGTCACAGATAATGATTATAACTGATGGAAAAATTTTTTCTAGTAACCATTATTAATGAGAAGACATTTACTTGCTTACAATTTCGCGAGATTTACATGGGGAATTAACTCTATGGTTTTTAAAATGTTTTGATACTATTGCGAGGAATTGTTTTATATGAATGTAAAATAATATTTATGAAGTTGTATATAAAAAAGTTTCTCTGTTATGAACAATCGAAATAATTATAATAAATTACCGAACTGTAATTCTCATTAATAATGTTTATCGGCAATGATATAAATTTTCGATCGTTATTGATCGTTGACTATATGTGGCTTTTTGACAAATGTTAAAATAATTTTAACATTTAACAGAAATAACAAAGTTAAATACTTCATTTGAGAAGTATAGTTGTTTTATTATCCGAAAATTCTATTCACCAAACAGTGTTTGTTTCCCTATTAAGTCGTACATGGAAGGCTCTATTGTATTTTATGGAAATGAACTCTGAAAAATTATATAAAGTTTATTTTGTAATCTTTAAGTGATATCGTGATGTTATAATTGATTATATGAATTTGTATTATGCTCAAAAGATTCGAAAATATTCAATTTTTTCTTGATAAAAATAAGTAACAACATTAAGTCAAATTTGAAGTTTCAAAATTAAGCAAATCCATGATAACATTAACAGTAGTTTT